CGTTAGATTATGATTTCTTTAAATGGCTGAGAAAATAGCTGTGCTCAGTAGAATGAATATTCCCGTCTGTGTATCTTTTTTGTAACTTAAGGTTTTGCCTAGAGGGATTCTCTATGTTTTGAATCTAATTACCCTGTTAGGTATTTACCATCCTGATTTTACAGAGGTGATTCTTTTTTACTTCTATTAAAAGTCTTCTTGTAAGAAAACTGAATGCTTTTTCATTGTTCTAAGATCCAAGGGTTTGGGTCTGTGGTCACCTATGCAAATTGGTGAGGATTTTTACCAAACCTTCCCCAGGAAGTGGGGTGCAAGGGTTGGGAGGATTTTGGGGGGGAAAGACGTTTCCAAACAACGTTTTCTTAGGAACCCAGATAAAGTTTGGTGGTGGCAGTGGAAGTCCAAGGGCAAAGGGTAAAATAGTTTGTACCTTGGGGAAGTTTTAACCTAGGCTGGTAAAAGTAAGCTTAGGAGGTTTTCATGCAGGTCCCCACATCTGTACCCTAGAGTTCAGGGTGGGGAAGGAACCTTGACACTGCCACTTGTAGAGGATGGAATAACTAAGCTGATGGGAGAACTCTCTCCTGTCAGTTTAGTGTGGCTACACTAGAAAGCTTGCAGCTGCCCTGCTATAAGTTCTCTAGAGTATCCAGAGCCTTAGATCAAAACCCTGGATCCATGAGAACAGGCAATTAAAATGGGAACCTCGAATCTTACTTGCAGCAGTGCCAATGGGACCCCTTGATATAATCCCTAAGGGTCTGAATTTTTCAGAGGTGCTGGGCACCCAGCGCTTTTGCTGACCTCCTATTTAGGGAGCATGCCTGTTTTGAAAAATCAGACCTTAAAGGTTCCTTCCTCCTAGATGCTGATTGCTCCTGTGAGGGGCTAGGGAGAGCACAGGGGTTATCTGGTTTTCCATCCTGTGAACATTTTCAAGATGTCAAAAAAAAAATTCCCATCCTGAATGGGACAAAGAGAGTCAAAATCATGAAAATATTTGTGAAACAGAAATCTGGAAAAAAGATCGGCTCAGGTCAGTCGAAATACTTTGATAATTTCAAAGTGTTTTATTTCAATTTTGAACATTTTAATTATTTACTATAATTAGCTTTAATTTGGAAACAAAAAGTCATTTTCAACTGGAAAAACGAGAATTTTCCATTTTGAAAATGCCCAAACAAAATGATTTGATGGTTCAAAACTTGTTTCAAAAGGCAAAAAAATTGTCAAAGCCAGCTCATACCTGCAAACAATTTTGGTTACATGAATCAGCATTTTCTGACAAAAAAGCAGTTCACTGGAAAAGTCCCAACCAGCTTTAGTGCTGAACACCTTCCACTCCATCTGAAACCCGAGTGTTGCACTGTGGTAAGCAAGTTGGTAAGTTACACACTCTGCACGAGTGTTCAGTACCTTCCAGGACTGAACCATAAATATGTATGGCTCTAATTCAGCAAGGCGCTTAAGCACATGCTTAAAATTAAGCACGAGTAGTTCTCACTGAAGTCAACGAGACTACTCAATGCGATTAGAATTAAGCATGTGCTTAAGCACTTTGGTGAAGCAGGGGCTAAGTTCCCTATAATGTCGTATTTGTTGTGTTTTCTTGTCTAGTTTTGTTCTCTTAGATGTGTTTTCATTCTCTTCAGATCAAATGAAAGAAACAAATTTGCTTCAAGCTGTTTTATAATCCTCTCAACATTTCTTGGCTTGTTGGTCCCAAAATATGATGAAGTTATACTTTAAGCATGAATCAATGATTTTACTTTTCATTCATTTTGATAACTTTCAGTTTTTGTATTTTTTCACCAGGTTTTTTTTTTTAAGTGGGCAGCGAGCGTTCTCATAATACTTTGAGTTAAAAAAATGAACCAACAATACACTCTGTTTTAGGTACTTATATATCCCCATTACCATAGTAGCGGAGTCCTTCAGAATCTTTAATGCATTTATCCTCATAATACTCTTGTAAGGCAAGGAAGTACTATTACCTCCATTTTACAGATAGTCTCTTTGTGCCTGGGTTCCTAAGTGACTTGTCCCAGGGCACACAAGAAGTTGGTGCTAGAACAGGCAATTAAACCCAGGTCTCCTGAGTGCTAGACTAGTTCCCTAACCACCAGACCATCCTTTCTTAGCTACAGAGATATACTGAAGTCTATCAAAGATTTCAAACAGGGCCCAAACAGATTGCGGGGGTGTGTGTGTGAGGGAAATAGCAAACAAAGTCAACAGCATATGGTATTATCTTTACCACTCGTTTGCAAGGTCTCCGTACACGAGTAGGTTTGTACTGTTTATTGAACTTATTTAGCATGTATGTATTCACCAAATGGTTCAGATCCAGCTTGCTTGCCTTATTTATATAATTAGTCCCCTGAAGTCAGCAAGACTACCTTTCTGAGTGGGGTGAGAAGGATTTGAAGATTTGGGGTGGGTTGATATGGCTCTGAGGATTTGACACTAATTGATACCTTTGAGATTTGGCTTTGAAGAGCATGGCCAAGGCCTGACTGGTGGATGGAGTTACTGAAATACCTGCTTGGTCCGAGAGTGGCTCCTTCCAGGTAACAATTGAGGCATATTGGTTTGGCACTGGGGAATCAGCACTACTGATACTGCATTTCTTTGGTGGATGTCATGCACCACTGCCATCAACCCAGGTTTTTTCACAATCTTGAAATGTATTTTTCAGAAGAGGAAATATCAGAACCTAATGTCCTACACATAGACAAAAATTACTATAAAAGGCCCAGAGCAAGATCCTGGCCCCTGGTCCAGTGGCATTTCCTCTGCAGTTGGCTGTCCCCAGCTGGAAGAACATCCCTTTGGAGCTGTGTACAGCTGGGTGTAATTAGAGTAGTCTAAAGGCTACTCTAACTTACACTAGAGAATGGACCATTCCATAGCTTGATCCAGGAGACACAAAGGTGGGCAAGTCATCTTTGCCCTCATCACAACACTGGTCCTGTGCCAAAGTCAGCTGGGTCAGACCAAAAAATCTGATCACAGCATTTAAATTTTGAGTATGAGAAGAAATGAAAAAAAAAAATCAAGAAAATTTCCCTAAATTAACATTTACTTTTTCCTGCCTCAGCATGTGGGGTTAGACTGGATGACCCCATGTGGTCCCTGCCAGCCCTACATTACTATGCTCTAGAAGCCTTAAATATGTAAAAAGCCATCATTGTGACAACATTTGTTTCAAAGACATTCAGCTTTTCCCTAATTTTCACAAGGCAGAGATTATTATATTGCATATATTTGTTTTGCATTTTTTAAAGTTGTAATATGGAAAATGGGGATGTTGTTAGCACTTAATCAAGCAATATCGTGGCTGATCATTGTTGACTCAATCCTTTATAAAGTAACTAAGCTAGAGACAATAAAAGCCACTCCTGTTAGCATCAAACGTATCCTTACTGTTTACATTATTCCAATGTGCCTTTGGTGCTCATGAGCGAGAAGGATTATTAAACAGGCTACAAGGAGCAAGCATAGTACTTGCTGGTAATACACAAACATCTCCATTCAGCTCTGTCAACACAAGCTCAATCTTAAAGGCCATATGTTGCTCTGAATTCAGAGCCCTCACTGACACTAACGGGAGTGGACACTGAATTCCAAGGCCAGCTCACCTGAAATCTGTGGGACTAACCGTGAGCAAAATTATATTATTATTAAAGCATTGGCAAATTCACTGCTTCACTAAAGAGAGAGACTGAGAGAGAGAGACACTGCCCCAAGAACTTGTAATCAAAAAGACAGACTCAGAGAAGACTGGATGTTCAGAAGAGGAAGTAACATATTTGTTGCGGTTGTGCTTATGTTATTAGCTCACATCTTCTGGACAGGTGCAAAGGTCTGGGGTCTGAGAGAAGAAAACAGCTCAACATGCCCAACATGCCTTTGGCTTGTCACAAGAAATGACCACAAGGGAACATCAGGTTCTGAACCTGGTCCCCAGATACCAGAGATTAATAATAGTCTCCTGTGCCACTGAGTTCTTCCAGAGAACAAGACTTATTTCCTAAACTTAATGAGCTGAAAGGGCTTTTTAAGCGCCCAATCCAGCTCCCATCAAAATCAGCTGGAGTTTTGCCTTAAATAGGAAAGCCAAGCTCTAGAAGAGTATTACCCTTAATTCCACCTATAAAGGTGCACCTCACAATCCGATCTGTGTGTTTCAAGCTGATCTGCAGATCTAAACGCAAACAGAGTGCATTTTTAAAGATCAGTTATAAACCACCTTTCCAATCCATTCCAGCTAGAGTGAAGACGGAGAGCCAGACTCTGTTTTTTTGGGGGGGAAGCAGCATGCTAGATTTACAAGGCTTAAAACGAAATCCCGATAAATAAAAATCAAGAAATTCAACCCCCCCCGCACCCCTCTGCAAGGTCCTACAAACTGCCAGCGCCGTTCCCCTTACTCACAGAACACACAGCCGGGAGATGAAACGCCGCTGTGGTCCGCTTCATCTCCCGCTGGGCTTCCTACCCCGAGCTGCGGTGGGACGGGCACTGTCAGAGCGGCCTCTAGCGGGCACAGCATTGACCTGCCGCTTCACAAGGCAGCGTGCGGGGCGCGATCGGACCCGCAAAGTTAGTGCTGTGACCAGAAGAGACAATAGAGCGGCGAGGGCTGGCGTGGAAACGGCGCCAGGAGGACGGACTCTGGCCACTGCATCCCCTCCATGGCGGGGCGCCGAGGGGCGGCGACGCTGGCTGCGGAGTGAGGCGGAAGTATTGGGGGGTGGGGGGAACCCAAACAAAAACCAACCCAAGGCGGGTCCGCGCTAAGGCGATGGAGCGGCCGCCGGATCGCAGCCGCCGCGTGTCGGCCCCTTCCCCGGCTGCAGCACCGGGCGGCGGAGCGGCGCCGGGGCGCGACGAGGCAGCAGAGGAGGGCGCGCCGCCAGCCGGCTTCGGGGGCTGCAGCCTGTAACAGCCAGCGAGCGAGGGGCGGGCGCGGGCTGCAGGCAGCGGCGGCTTCGGGGCTGGGACGGAGCATGCTCAGATCGCCCGGGCAGGCAGCTGATGGGGAGCCGCGTGTGAGATTACAGCGGAGCGAGCGGGCAGCTGCGGCTTCGCGCCGAGCTCGCTCCGGCGCGGGGCGAACGGAGGAGGCGCCGCCGAATGGGATTGCCGCCGCCGCCGCCGCCTCGGAGCTCTCCGCGCAAGGGGCACTCGCCACTCCGCGGTGCTGGCTCCCTCCTGACCCGGGAGAGCGGCGCGGAGGGGGGGTAACCTGCACACCTGGGCGCCTCCTGACCTCCGCTGCCCGCCCCGGCAGGATTACAGGAGCAGGGGGAAGGCAGAGCCCGCCCGGTGCCGGCCGTTCCTGGGCTCGGCCATGTGCCTGGGTACTTAGCGAGGAGGAAAGCCTGCAGCCGGGGGAGGGGGCAGGATATTTTGTTTGGGGGGCGGAGGGGGAGCCCCGCTCTCCAGCTGGCTGTGTGACAGAAGGAAGCAGCCTCCTCCCCCCTGGTGGGGATGAAGGCACCAACTTGGAGAGGCAGCCCCAGTGGCTTGGTCTCCGGGGCTGGGAGGTTGGCCCCCATGGCTGAATAGGACCCTCCCACTCCCACCATGGATCTGCTGGTGCTGATGAACATCAGTGTTGGCACCCCCAATGGCTCCGTTGCCTTCCCCTCCACTTCGCCCCTGCAGCAGCCTCCCTCCCACTACTCCCCTGGGGCTGTGGCCAGTTTGGCAGCTGTGGTGGGTTTCCTGATAGTCTTCACCATCGTGGGCAACGTGCTGGTGGTGATCGCCGTGCTGACCAGCAAGGCGCTGCGAGCCCCGCAGAACCTCTTCCTGGTGTCCTTGGCCAGCGCTGACATCCTGGTGGCCACCTTGGTCATGCCTTTCTCCTTGGCCAACGAGATCATGGACTACTGGTACTTCGGCAAAGCGTGGTGCAACATTTACCTGGCGCTGGATGTGCTGTTCTGCACATCCTCCATAGTGCACCTGTGCGCCATCAGCCTGGACAGGTATTGGTCTGTCACCCAGGCGGTGGAGTACAACCTCAAACGGACCCCACGGAGGATCAAGGGGATCATCCTCACTGTCTGGCTCATCTCAGCTGTTATCTCCTTCCCCCCCTTGATCTCCGTGTACCGAGACCCCGAGGGAGGACCTCTTCCCCCTGTGCAAACTCAATGATGAAACCTGGTACATCCTCTCTTCGTGCATTGGCTCCTTCTTCGCCCCCTGCCTGATCATGGTGCTGGTTTATGTCCGCATCTACCGGGTGGCCAAGCTGAGGACCAGGACCCTTTCTGAGAAGCGCACGGTGCCTGAGGGCTCTTCCCTGTCTGAGAATGGGCTGAGCCGGGCCCCTCGGGGTTGCACGTCACTGAGGATGCAGCCAGGGGAGAATGGACATTACTCGGTGCACCAGTGGCGCAAAGCCTCAGAGCTGGAGGACATTGAGCTGGAGGAGAGCAGCACCTCAGAGAGCAGGCGGAGGCGGAGCCGGGATGAGCACCCCCGCAAAAGCAGTAAGAGCCAGTCCTTCTCATATTCCTACTCTTCCAAGCGCTCCAGCAATCGCTCCAGGGATCTCTTCTCCTCTCACCGCCGCAGGAAGCGCAGCAGCGTCTGCCGTAAGAAGGTCACCCAGGCCCGGGAGAAACGCTTCACGTTTGTGCTGGCTGTGGTCATGGGGGTCTTTGTGGTGTGCTGGTTCCCCTTCTTCTTCAGCTACAGCCTCTATGGCATATGCCGGAAGGCATGTGAGGTCCCTGAGACTCTCTTCAAGTTCTTCTTCTGGATCGGGTACTGCAATAGTTCCCTCAACCCGGTCATCTACACAATCTTCAACCAGGACTTCCGCAGGTCTTTCAAACACATCCTCTTCAAGAGGAAGAAGAAGAATTTTTTGCACTGAGCTGGAGTGGAGGGGAAGGGTCTGCACTGACCTTGGGAGTGGAGAGGAGAGGAGAGGGGCCTGAGTGCTGGAGTAGAGTAGTGAAGAAGTGGGGGATGTGAGTAAGGGTGTGAGTTCACTGACCTTGGAGTGGAGTGAAGTGGGGGTGGGGGAACCAGTGTTTGAGTAAAGAGGGATAAATAATGAAGGGGAGGGGAGATGAATTTGCATTTTGACCTTGGAGGGGAGGTGGGGAACCATAAAGAAGAGGGTGGGACATTATGTTTCAGGCATGACCACAACTGTAAAGGTCTCTGAGGTCTAGAAGCCAATCAATCAAAGATGGGGAGAGGGAGGGATGGGTTGGTGGTGGAGTGGGAGATTTATTAGCAGGTGTTTATTAGCAGTTAGAGAAGCTGGGACTTGTGCTGGACTCATCCCAGGAAGAAACCAGGTTTTACTGGTGAGGTGGGGGACAAGTGAGAAAGAAGATGCCAGGTAATAGCCACTGACAGTCTTTGATAGTCTGAAAGGATTTAAGTGTTTGCCAAAAAAAATTCTAAAGAACAATCCAAACTCTTTTCTAAATAAACCTTTGTACTCTAAACCTTCTCAATTGTGGTTTTACATAGGGCTTAAGTGAAAACAGGTACTTGGGGCTTTCTGCCCTCTAGTGGCCCTTTGCATATACCCCTGAGAGTTTCTGTTCCTCTCTCCCTCAGTACCCCTCAAAGGGGCTAGTCTCAGGGGCTGAGTTTGGGTTCTGGTCTCATTCTCACATGTGCAGTTGACAGCACCCTGCTGTGCAGCTGTTCAAAGGAACAGCAATCCCCACACCACAGATGCTTTAAATCCTTCACATTTACAATCTTAGGGCAAATTAAACCCATTAGATTTACTTTTTAAAATGAGAAACAAAAGCAGGCGATGATCACTGAGATACAAGAACACATTTCTGTGGATGGATGACTGTTCCAATCCTTTAATATTAATCTCTCATTTTTCTATTTGCACTTACAAATTTGGACTCAAACTATGTTTTGAGCAATGATTAAAACAAACACTCCCCCCTCCTAGGGATTTATGAAATCCCATAACTGCTGATGGGTAGGATGAGAAACAGGATGGCATCTGTGCATTCATCAACAGATTTCCAATTGCCTGTTGCCAACAGCCAACATTTAAAGAATCGAACAGTCCCTCTCCAACTGTACTGCTGCAAGGTGCGTTTGTCTGAGGGAGGAAATTCTGCTCTGTCTTATTATGCACATCATTCCCTCCATAGGCAGTAGGATTTGGCATCTGCCACATAAACCTTTCCCTAGTAAACAACTCCTTGAAATGGAAGGAGATCTAATCTAATACGGCAGGCACCTTGAAGCATCCAAATCAAATCTATAGCTTTGATTCACGAGATATCCACTTCCTTGCTGGCTGTTTTACAGGAAGGTATCAACAGACCCTCTTCCCTTGGGATCCCTATGTCAGAAATGATAAACCAGTAACTTAGGCTGTTTTATCTGCTTTATATTATTACTGCTCAGTTCACTTAGACTAATCTTGGGCATAGATGCAGGTCTTCAGTGGTTCAGGTTTAGGTGTAGATTTAATAGACTGTTTCCCTTCAGGACTAACTCAAATGGCAGTTTTGCCTAAGTAAAGACTACAGCTTGTGGCCCACTGAGTTTGAATGGTTCAGCTGAAAACCAAATTGGGACATTTTCAAATTCAGGCTCTTTAACCTATAGCCTTTTGGGGGAAATAAGGATTCAAGTGATGAAAAGATTCAAACTTGGTTTAAATGTTCACACTCTTGAAAGAAGAGTCATTAAGACTTGTTTTGAAGGGCTGTCCCACCTTTGCAAACTACTGATGGTTAGATGAAAGCAGCCGTCTTGATGCAGTGCACACACAAGGCTGCTAATATTAGAAAATAATGGAAGTGGCGGAGATGAGAAAAATATAAGCCATTTTCCCTTCTGTAAAATGGAGAATTCATTTTAAAATGGCATGAAGGGGAGGTGAGGCAAACTCAGGTAGTTTGAGGGCAGCATGAGATGGCAGTGTGGGGCTAAATAAGTCAATAAACTATATAATTGTCAGAACAACCAAAGCAACACATGGTAAATATGCTACCTCGGAGATGCTGGAAAGCTTCATTAAAATATCCATTCTCACCACCAGAAAGGTTTGTATTTGTCACTGGGTGCTCAGGTTGGAGTGGCTTCTCACTCTGCAGACACATTTCACTGTTGCACTCCTAATTTTTAAATCAGATTGGCGTGCCGTAAACAGTCATTTCCCTGTGTTTTTCTTTGTAAAAACAGACGGAGTCTGAAAGAGAAAAGATGGTTGACAGTTAAATTTGAGTGGGGGTGAAGTACGGATGGAACAGAGGACATATGCCTTAAAAGTAATTTCTTTGCCATAAAATCATTTTAATTGGTTGGAACATGTAACAAACTGTGGCTTTATTTTCTGGTTTTTTGCTTTTACGTAACTGAATAAGGAAAGATTTCTGCAGATGCTGACCATCTGATCTGTACAGCAATGCACTTGAAAGCAGGGCATTTCCCTGTGGTTTTATTTTACCTTTATTTACAATTACTCATTTGACTGAACTCCCCCAAAGAATATTAACTTTTTTTCTTTTGACTGATACATAGACTAATATTCACCCTGACTGGCTTAAAGATGTACTGCATAAGTCCATTTGTAAGTATATTTTCCTACAAATCAGTCAATAAAGTGGATTTCTATGAAAGTTTTTTTTAATGTAACTATTGAATGTGTTTCAAATAATTACAATAGGAACCAATTTATTTTTTTTTAAGTACAGTATTCTGTTATCACTTGTTGTGATGATCAGCGTGTGCCTGTTAACATATTGTGCGTTAATATTTCATAAAAAGTTTACAGCTTTACAATTCACCCTGTAGTTGTGCTTCTACTGAAAGGGGATTTGTGTCCTTTAGCTTTGCATAGAGGAATCTTTGATCAAATCTGCTGAGCTGGTTAAAACGTTCCCACTCAGTTATTCAATAGGAATTAAATGTTCCTGTAAAGCCATAAATGATTTTAACAACAAGCACCTGACCAGTGACTTATACTTGTTCATTTTTACTTTGCAGAAAAGTCCCCTCCAGTCTAGTGTGAGACGTTTATATGATGTTTATAAAAGGTCTGTTTCCTGACCAGTGTAACTATTGCAGGATTGTAAGTTACCACCACAGATATCACAGACCTGGTTAGGATGAGAGCCCTGCAGTCCTTACTCAGGCAAAACTCCCATTCACTTTGGAGGGAATTCATTCATTTTGCCTGAATGAGAACTGCAGAATCAACCTCCATTTGCTACAATAGGCTTTATGCACAGGTGGTTAGCAGCATCAGTTCCTTACATCAGTATCTAAAATAAGAATCTGGCCCCTAATTAATCTGTGTGATCTCCATTTAGGATTTGATGGAAAGACCATTGCAGTTAATGCAATCTTTAAGGTTCAATATCAAGACTGAGGGTGAGATTCTGATAGCCTTACTCACACTGACTAGTAATCTCATTGACTTCAGTGGAGCTACCCGTGGATGAAAGAGCTACTCAGTGTGAGCAACCTCTCCACAGATTACATCTGCTCAGTAGATGCGGTTGATTGTGTAAATAATTATCCGTGAATATTTACTTAATTATTGATGCAAAAAATTCCTCAGATAAATCACTGTTCAGCCCTGGGATGGAGAGAGTCAGATAACATGAACAATGATTTACTTCACCGGTTGAGCAACAGACTCCACCACACTTCCTTCAATAAGCCATATAAAGTTTATTTGATCCTCTCAACTTCTCACGGAACTAAGATGTTTGTCTTTTGGTTTCTGGCGCTCGGTACTGTTTAGAGCAGCATCATAGAGGGGGAGTGGTTTTGTTCCATTTGTGGGGCACTGTTGGTAAAGTCAGGGTCATGGTATGTATTCCAGAAGCACGTTTCTAATACTGGATGCCTTACATTCAACTCTGTTTTTACTAACCTTAAACTCTGACCATGCATGACTTACAGTATTAGTGGAGACTAGGCCTAAGTCAATGTAAGTTACGCTAGTTAAGTTACGTAAGTTAAGTAACTTAAGTAGACATAACTTACAGCGACTTAAAGCAGTGTCTACCCTGTGCTACGTTGACGGGAGACGTTCTCCCATTGACATAATCCACCTCAATGAGAGGCAGAAGCTATGTCAACTTACCAGACCCACTAAATGGACGCCGCTGCATTGATCGCAGCAGCACCCATTTAGTGCTTAAGGTAGACAAAGCCTTGCAAAGATTTACGTGACCCGAGGAGCTAGAATGAAAAAGAACAAAAGGGTTTGCAAACCAAGTGCAACATGATACTTGTAATATCCTTTGCAATGGACAAGCACCATGAGCTAAATTGTGACCCAGCTATGAATATGAGGTCATGAGTAGTTGAGCTGCCCTAGGAGGAGCCCTATGGCAGGGAGCAAATTACTGCAGCCCTGTATAGATTGTAATTTACTTCCTCCTCCTTGCACCAGCTCAGCTCTGCTGGCCAACACATTGAGGGGAAGACTGAGGGGGATGCTACTTCCTCTGCCTCCTGGGGGAGGGAAGTAGCATCCCCACAAAATCTTCTCTCCCTCGCACCCAGACCTGTGATCTAGGCACACCACACTGTAGCTGGGGTGGAGCCTCAGACCCATTTTACTCCCCTGCACAGCTGCATAAAGGCCAAACTTGCACTATCTACCTGAAATGAAGACAAAAGCAAAATGTGGTGCCTAGAGTTTCATGACACACCAGCCCATCGGAGTCAGCAATGTTACACCAGGGCTGCACGTGGCCCACTGTTTGCAAAAATCATTGATCCATACGATGGCCTATGAAATCTCTGCTGTGAGACAGAAAATAGAAGACATTCCCCCAAATAGGCCAAATCCTGTCAGAGAGAGGAAGACTGAACCTACACAAGTGTCACTCTGCAGTGGGGGGGGACGGGGGACATGGCTAGACAAGGAAGGAAAGGTCAAGGGAGAGCAGCTCTCAGTGGCGTTATACGCTGCCACTGTGTAGAGATTTCCCCATGCAAGACAATACTAACTCTGTCTGACGTAGTATGGTTTGGAACCCACAAAGGTAATCACTTCACCCTCAAGGAAGTGTTGGGGGCATACACAGGCAGGGCACCAGTGGCTATATGGCTCTTGAAAGAACCAGGCTACCATAAGAAGGGAGAGATGATAGATAGTCCCTAGAAAACAGGAAACACCAGGCCTTCATGTGAATGCCCGACACATGCCCCCTCCATAAGAGTAGACAACTGTGCTACTATTCTTAAGAGGAGGAGGTGGAATTTCTTGGACCTTCTGTGAGTTTTTATTCGTTGGGCATAATCTGGGTACATGTTCACTGTGAGACATACTCAGTTAACTCTTTCAAACCAAAGTCCTTGGATTACAACAAAGAACATTTAAGCCCTTTACTATATTTTATAGAGTATATTTTTCAATTTAATTATACAAACCCTTCCCCATAGTATCTGAGTGCCTCCCAAATGTTTATGGGGTTAGCCTCAGAACACCCCTACAAAGTTG